GGATTTAGGGTTTAGGATCTAGGGTTTAGGGTTGAAGGTTTGGGGTTTTGGGGTTTAGGGTTTGGGGTTTAGGGTTTAGGATTTAGGTGAAGGTTTGGGGTTTTGGGGTTTAGGGATTGGGTACTGCCCCCTCAGTAACAGTTGGATAATAAATTGAATATGGTGATATATAGCCCTTAGTAGGACCCCTAATATAGACTGTTACTGAGGAGGGGGCAGTACCCAAGGTTTAGGGACCCTAAACCCTAAACCCCCCTAAACCCTGGGTTTTAGGGTTCTCTAGTTTTAGGGCTCTAGGGGTTGAGGGTTTAAGGTTTAGGCTTTGAGGGTCAGGGTTTGGGCTAGGGTTTAGGATTAGATGGGGTTGGGTAGGGGTTATACAGGAGGTCTATCGGGTTACATAAAGGTATGTAAGGATTGAATAAGGTTGTGGGGTAGCAGTACTGGAGAATCAAATGGAAAAGAAAACAGCAAATGAAAGGGAGACTGTGATTATGAAGTGCTTTATAAAGATTAAGGGGCTTTACTTCTGGTTAGCAAGCATGGTCCGTGCAAGAAATCTACTAAAGCGGCACCAACGCTACTGACTGAGCACCGACAAGAAAAAGCCTATTGCCCCTACTTCATCTCGTTCGAGATGGGAAGGTTGGACGTGATGAAGGAATAGACAACAAAATGGACACTTCTTTGCTATTGGGGATTGTGTAGAGACTACTATACGGATCCATTCCCGCGTTCCTTGCTAACCAGAGATCAAAATGGCAATGAACTTCCCCACCTTCCTGCCGCTAATAATTAATATTCCCGTCTATATTGAGTGTCATAGTACTGTATTGGGGTACTTGTTATGCCGGGGCTGAGGGTGGGTTATCTTTTGAACCCTCAACCCTCGATAATAAAGTCGTTTCCATTCACTTTTCCATTACCCTTTATATCCCTAAATAGCCCTACACCCCGAACATAACATATCCACATCAGTGGGGGAGCATCTAGCTCTAAATCCGAAACTTTAAACCTCTACTTTACAAAGTCGTAAACCCGAAACCATACACCCTTAAGTCGATGAGCCTCTGCTGGTCGGGCTGTTGGGCCCAGTGCCAGGGCAGGTCTTTGAATGAAGCTCGATTGCCGCGATCTGCCACAAGGCTAGGGGAGCTTTCAGGTGGGTAGTTACCAGGTGGGTATAGTCCCCCTTAAGTAGATAGAATATAGGGTATATGGGGATCTGATTATAGTATACCCAAAGCCATATTCCATCTACTTAAGGGGGACTGTACACTTACATAAGGCTTCTATGGGGGCACTAGGATTATATAAGGGCTATATATGGGGAAACTATCCACATCAAACTTCCTTAGACAAGGGCGTGCAAGAGGGGTGTGCTAAAGGCTGATATAAGGACTTTCCGGTGTAGGGGCAGTACTGCTGACATGGCAAAGGAGTCTTGCTTGCAGGGATTGATCATTTAGTGTGACTAGGAAGTATTTCAACCCAAGCATTCAAATACTCTGGCAATTTTCACACTAAATGATAGCTTCCATTTTCTTTTCCGTTATCCCTAAATAACCTCTATGCAACCCCTATAGTAGGGTTTCTTCTTGATGCGGCCCTCGACTTCCAGCCAAGAGCTCTCTGTAAATTGCCGACGGTACGTCAAGAGGAAGACGTACTCCGCAGTAACCGCACCTGGCAGGAACTTAACCTATGTTAGTACATGGGTGGTTGTCAAAATTATGGTCCCTTTTTGGGTCCCTATTATAATACGGCACCTAATGTTCAGGGTACCCAAAATGGGACCATAAAGGGACCATAATTTTGACAGCCACCCATATGGAGGAAACCCCATTATTTACTAAATAAATATACTCAATATAGTAAATGAATTTAAACTCCTTCGCAATAACCGCACCTCGACGGCCAACAACTTCAGTTCCCAATTTAAGGCCATGTTGGTACTATTCATCAAATGCAAACTCATTCCCACTAATAATCCCCCTCCCCTCAATACCGTACCACTTATTAAGGTGAATATTGTACTTGTTGGGGGGGAGGGGGGTAACTTGGATGATGCACGGGGTATGTGAAAGCAGAGTTGGGTTGACTGAGATGCGGGTGTAGCTGCAAGCTCCCGCACAAACTGCAATCTGCAAGGGTAGCGATTTACAGTGTATTTTAGAATAATTTCAATTTCCAATTTAAAGCCATTTTGATACTACTCCACATATAAACCACCATGTCGGGTGAGGTCGGGGGAGGTCGCTTTGCACAGGATTTAGGGTTTAGGGTTAGGGCTTTGCACTGCATGCAGCAACATGCTGTCCATTCCACGCAGAACCATGCTTCGGATCAAGGCCGCTGTGAGGGAACTTCAGCTAATGTTTATTTCGGAAGCCCTGTTGTTTGCAGCATACCCATCTTGTTGTAACCGGGTTCGAATGCTGTAAAACTCCGTAGAATCCATAGACAACCCCCGTCTCCATCCATGTTGGCGTCCCTTTGGTTCTCCATGACTGACAACTGAGGCCCAGACTTTAATCAATGGATACTGGCAACGGATACTGGGTTGTATCCCCAGCGTCGCTCCCCTAAAAGGTTTCCCATAGCCCTAATATAGCCCTAATAGAGTCCCTAGAAGGGGTAGCCCAGAAATACAACCTCAGGGGTACAAGGGTACAAGCCTGAAAGCCCCGACTAAACTAGAGCCTAAGTTCCATGAAAGCAACTCAGATTAATGTAGACCCCTGATCAATAAACCCCCTCCCCTTAGTAGGGATTATAGTAGGGATCCGAGTATTAAGGCCCTTAAAGGGGGGGTTATTAATCATGGGTCTACATTAGTAGTCTGAGAGGTATGTCGGCAATTCAAGCTTCCCCCCCTCCCATTAGCGGCAACCCATCTTTCTTCATAGCTCGTTTCAGACACTCAGACGCACAACCCAAAACGCCCTAAACACCACTAAACCTTAATCCTAAACCATAAACACCCTACACCCTCATATAATAACCCTCATATAACCCCAATATACCCCTACTATAACCCCAATATAGACCCTGGACTCCCGAGTTCAACACCCGAAGCCTTAATCCCTAGTTACCCTGCACCCTAAACAGCCTGAACCATGAACCTTAAACCCTGAAGCCTAAATCTTAAACCCTGAACCCTAATTCTTAAACCCTGAACCCTAAACCCTATATAACCCGATTATAGTAGTTTCCATTGTCTTTTCCATTATCCCAACATAACCCTAATATCACCCCAATGGGTACATCACCCGAGTAATGTTTTTTTTGGTGGTTAAACCTAGTAAGATAATATTCCTTATATAAAATACTATACCCCAAAAGGAGGATATAATCTTACTCTATAATGGGTACCATAGTACCTCCAAATAAAATACTACCCGAAACCCTACACCCCAAAGCCCCAAACCCTAAATAGTAGCTTCCATTTTCTTCTCCATTATCCCAACAT